TTTAAATTTAAATAAAACATTTGATAAATTTTCAATAAAATGAAATTAATTTAATTATTTCACTTATTTGGAAGATTTGATCCATCAATTTATTATATTTATAAATCAATCTAAATTTATCAAATCAATCTAAATTTTGTATTATTATTATTAATTATTTTTTTGAATAATTACTGATTAATTCCATCATGAATTAAAATTGTAATAAATATATTTATTTCAATTCTACGTAATGAATTTCCATTATCTATGTATTATAAAAGTTCAATTTCAAATATTATATTTTTTTAAGTAAAATGTTGTATTTAATATTTATAAATTTTTTTAAACTACTTCCATCTATTTTTCCATTAACTAGTCTCTTATTGCATAATTCACCGATAATTATAAACATAATTTACCGATAATTATAAAATTAATTAATTATAAACAAATAAATAAATACATAAATAAATAAATAAATAAATACATAAATAGATAAATAGATAAATAGATAGATAAATAGATAGAAAGATAAATAGATAGATAAATAAATAGAAAGATAAATAGGTAGAAAGATAAATAAATAGGTAGATAAGTAAATAGATAGATAAATGAATAGGTAGATAAGTACATAGATAAATAAATAAATAAATAAGTAAATAAATAAACAAATAAATAAATATGTATTTATAGTATAATAGAATTACATTTATTTTTCCATTAAAAAATTTAAAGTATAGTAATATATATAATTCTATAATATTTATTATTCTTTTTCATTATATTAATTACTGAATTTAGTGTTAAATCTAAATAAATTAGTTGCAATAAATAAAATATTGAATTTAGAAAAAAATTCCATTTGAATGTCGTTTTAACCCAATATCTAAATTTTCATTACCATTTTTTATATCTTCTTTTAAAATTAGATTGTTATTTTTAATTTTGGATATTGAAATTACTTTATTATTTCCATATTAATTATATATCTTGAATACGCAAATATTTTTACATGATAAAATTAGGTACATTACTTATAATCATAATATTAAATACATTAATTATTGAATGAATATTAAGATACTTGTTTTGAATATTTTAATTGTTATATAATAAATGGAAATCAGGAAGTATAAAACTTCAATTCGAGATAAAATGTAAAATTTTTTTTATATTTAATATTTATTTAAATATATAAACAATATGGAAGTAATATATATCATTAAATATATAAACAATATAATAATAATATGTAAAAAGAGGCCTCCGAGTGATAATAATATTATGAATAATATTCTAATTTAATTGAAATAAAAAATTAGAGCTTCTTACTTATATAATTTATATAAAATATCATATTTTTGATATGAAGAGAATTATTTATCAATTTATGTTTAAAAATTTTTAATTTCACTAATATTTTCGATATTATGCTCTAATATAATCTATTTAAATATTTAATATTCAAAAAAATTAATATTAAATATATATACTAGTATTAATGAATATAATGGAATATTAATTACTATCCAAAATTTTTGGTTAAATATTTATAATAATAATAAAAAATTTGAAAGTATAATTTCATTAAATATGTTTTTATATAAAATTTCATATTTATTTGATAAATTAAAATAATAGATGTTTATGTATATTAATTATGTAAATATAGACTTTTAAAAAAACTAAAATCAATTTTAAATATAATTTTATAAAAATTAAATTTATTAAATATATTAAAACAAATATTTTTGTTATAAAATATTTATATACTTTGTATGAGTTATAATTAAGTAATAAGAATTTTAAATTAAATGTAATTTTTCTTAAAAATAGTATGATTATTAACATAAAAATTATGTTTATATTTGTACATTTTCTTTCAAATTTAAAAATTAAATTCAATTTTAAATTTTTGAATATTAAATTATAAATAATTCGAATTGACTATGATACAGTATTATTGTTCTTAATATTAAAATAATAATCTAATGATATTAATTTTATTAAATATATATCTTTCAATTATTAATTCTTTGGAATAAAATCCAACTAAAAAAGGAAAACTACATAATTTGATTAGAGATAGTATTACAGTTATACTTTTAATTGGATAACGTAATCCTTTATAACGTAATCCTTTATAAAATCGAAAGTATTTAATACCATTTATATAATTGATTTAAATAAAGCATGAATAAATAAATGTAGCAATGTCAAGTCATTTAACCTTAAATATATAATCCTTTATATAAAACCTAATTGACTTAAAGTTGAAAAAGCAATAATTTTCTTAAAGTCTACTTCAAAATTTGCCTTTAATCCAGAAAAAATATAGTTATTTTTGAAAATAATAAAATATAATTTTTATAATTTATATTTAATACATTTCCATAGCAAATTATTAAATAAATCCCTGCAGCTATTAAAGTTGAAGAATGAAATAAACACGAAACTGGTGTAAGAGCTATTATTGTTATAGGTAATTATACAGAAACAGGAATTTGAGCACATTCTGTAAAAATCATAATTAATAATAAAAT